GGGGTACTGGAGGAGGAGTCCCAAGGCTGGGATCGTCGGTACGTCGGAGAGGGGGCCTGCGGTCAGGTGGTGTCGCTCCTGCAAGAAGCTCCAGCCGCGTAGGAGCTCACGGAGCTATGAGCGACAAGCCCCCAGAGGATGGGTCGGAGGCCACAGGGCTGAGAAGACCTCCCATGAGGCTATACAGGTTGTGAGGTAATCTGCCCGGCCCACCCAGCACTGGGGAGACCGTGGCAGGCATCACCCAACACAGAACCAGTGAGCAAAAAGCTGCTGGAAACCTCAGTATGTGAGGAAGGGCTGGACAAAACCTGCAGACGTCATGGCAGCCACATCAATGTGTCAGCCCAAGCTGAACAAATTGAATGAAAACTGATTAAAAACATCCTTTGCTAATTTGGGCACTTATCACTGCTACATGGCTTGCCCAGCCTTCTGAAAACCCTCCCTTGCATTTTTGAAGTCTGTTTCTTGCTTTTTGAGCTTATTTCCACTGATGATATTTTGGCGTGGTGAGAAACTCAAGACTGCTGCATTTCTAGCTCCATCTATACTCATGCTCAGGAAGCTGCAGTGAAGACCCTGGCCAAGGAGCATCTCTAGTTCCCATCACATCCAGTCTAAACCTTTCAAACAACAAAAATAGCAATTGTCCTCCTACCCAATAGTAACTACCTAAATTGTATGCCACAATCATTTATGGAAGGGTTAGAGAAATGCACAGTTTTTGGGTTGAAAACAACACACCATGCCCTCAATACTGCCATAGGCAAAGCTCAGCCGCTGGCTGCTACATCAGAAGGGACCCTGAAGCTCACAGCTTTGATCATGTCAGACTAATCCTGCAGCAACAGTTCCCCCCGTGTTGGGATCTCATCCTTTTACAAGATGTTTGTGTTTCTAGGCAGTATTCAGGCTGCTGGAGTGAATCACTGCCCCGGGGCTGCATCAGCTGCCTCATCCAGTTGCTCAGCTGTTTTTCCCACATAATTACTACTCTTTTTTTCCTCTGAAAGCTGGGAAAACGATGGTTTGAAACAACACAAGGTTGCCCTTTTCCAGGGACCCATCAGCTCTTACCTCTATTCTCAGCATAGACACAACAACTTTTCTGTTAGCCACCCTTAAATACCACAAGCTAACAAGGGACACATGGTCCCCATCCCTGCCTCACACAGCAGTTTCTAACGTTGTCACAAGAAAGGGTTAACAGTCACAAAAACTTCCGAGTGGGCCTATGTAGGTGGTTGCACCTGAGACTAGGGGAGAACCATCAGAATTAATTATCAGGATAAAAGAATTATAAGTTTCTCCCTTCATATGTAAAGTTAGGAGTGACGAATGACTAATGAATCATTTACTTTACTGTAGTTTCTTCTTTGTTGTAAACTGTATAAAACCCTACAGCTCCTCTGAAGGGTTGTGCCAGCCTTGTGAGTTACCATCTCCTAGCACCTTTTTCTGTGCAGAACTATGATAAAACAAATACCTCGACTATGTGTGTTGATTGATTTTTGCACACCAGGTAGAGAATCCAGATTTGGGACAATAATAACAAGCTGATCACACACGGGGAAGGACTGATGCAGTTCCCCCTGCCCTCAGCCCATTCCTCATGGGGCCTGCCCCAGCAGGGGGCTAAACAGAGATTATTTTTTGGCTCCCAGGGGACCAGCTCCCCCCTCTGCCCCATAGCTTTCCATTTGATGTGAAAAGGCTACTGCAGCATTTGAAGACTGTCCCTTTTTCCTCTTATTTCACCCCAGTCCCTTTCCTGCCCTTCACCCAGGGGAGAGGGACCCAAGGGACCCCATCGGTGGCTCACAGCATCCCTGTGCCACGAGAGGGCACATCAAGCCCATGGATAGCATCGCCCAAAATGGCAACCAGCCAAGCAGAGCTCACAGGGGATAGGATATACTGAAAGGACTGGTTAGGTGGGGAAACAAACTTGGGCCCATTCCTACTGCTGTACATGGAGCTGGGAGATTGCCAGCAGGTCAAGGTCCCTGGGGGGTCAGATGCTTTGTAAGGAGTAGCCTCACAGCTTTCCCAGTCCCACAGTGGTGATTCCCTCCCTAGCCAGAACCCATCCTTCTAAGATGTTTGGGTCTCCAGGCAGCTCTTCACATGGTGCTTTTGGCTCCTGGACTGAAATAATGCTGGAGAGTGTCACTGTCCCACATCAGGTCCAGTATCCTGTTGTTCTGCTGCTTTCTTACTTACCTGCTTCTTTTTCTCTCTTCATTTTGCTTCAAGCTGTCTTTTCCTGGCTCTCAAGGCTATAGATTTCCAAGGACCAGGGATTGCCTATCAGTTCACATCCCTAAGGGGAAAAAAAACCCTTTCCAGCCCACACCTACCTCTTCCTGTTAGCTCAGCCCTAAATGCCATATCCTAACAAGGGCCATCTGGTCCTTGTGAAAACACACCCCACAGCCCCACTCATGAGACCTGACATGCTTGGTTTTGAGACCCTCTTAGTCTAAAGCCTACAGCTTCTTAGCAGTGGCGAGACTCCAGTTATGAGGCCATCAATGGCATGGGCAGGCTCTTTGGGACCTTGGCCAGCTCAGCGCCCACCCTGTTTCTCATGCCAACCTCCCAGAGCACCCTGCAGCACCCCAAAAAAGCTGCCAACCCTTTGCAGAGACCCTCCGCCCCATATCCCCTGCCCCCCCTGCTGAGAGCTGACAGATGCAAAGACAGAACAGTGGTGTGCATAGCGATTGTGGTTAAATTTTATTGGTTTTTTGTTGTTAGGGTTTTTTTTTAAAAAAACCCATATTATTGTTATAATACAAAATGTACAGACTGGAGATGCCAAGCGGGTTGTGGGTCACCATGCCCCGGGATGGAGGGGTCACAACATGCGACCTGCAGCGTGAGGGAGGAGGCGGCATCTGCTTTGTGTGGCCAGGGATGGGGACCCCAGAGAGCCTGGGAGGGGGGATGAGGAGATAAGGGTTGGACACCCACCCTCCCACCCTTGGGAGACTGCAAGTGGGAGCTCAGCCCCACTGCAAACCCAGGAACAGGACTGTGAGATGAACAATGTCTTGAATGAACCTAAAAAAACACATCATCTCTCAAAGGGCTGAGCCAGGGACAATTTTGGCATGAAGCAGCCCCATATCTCTGGCTCAGGGCCCTGGGAGGGGGTTCTAGTGGTTCTGACACCAAGGGCCCTGGGTCTGGGGCCCATTTGCTCTCCCCTTCTCCACTGATCCCAGACACTGCAGCTTGGGCCAGCCCCGACCACCCTTAGCTACTAAGGATGCAGGGCTGCCAGGGCTGAGTATGTTCCCAAGGCCTGTGGGGCTGCACAGAGGGGCTTCAGGGGTTGGCATGGGGTCATGGCATCACTGTTCCAGCTACAACTCAGAAGAGTATGCGAACAGGACAGGTCTGCCTGTACATGCCCAGCTCCAAGGAGCCAGTGGTGACAAAGATCTGGGGGGGTGGCAACCCCAGGGTGCTGGCTCCATCCCTGGGGTCCCCAGGCAGGCTCTCACCCAGCTGCACTAGGAAAAAGGGCTGAGCCCAGCCTGCCCCAAAGTGACCCTCCATCCCCCTGGCAGCACAGCAATGGCTGGGCCCAGCCTCAGCTTTCTCTCTGGAGAGCTGCCAGCTCAGCCGTGGCCCCAGCCCAGGGCTCTGTCTGTGGGCACACCTCTCTGCACCATTGCTCACTCCCCAGCCCCCTGGGCAGGGCACGGGAGCAGGGCACACTCAGCAGCAAACGATGCTTGGCGCATGGCTGTGAGTCCCAGGGGCCAGGGTGGCTGCTGAAGCTCAGCACACCTCCCTCCTCCACTTGTCCCCATAACCTGGCTGCTGTGTCCTCAGGGAGGGGTGGGAAGGGTGTCTCTTCATTTTAGCCTCAAAGCGTGTCCCTTAGGTCCCCTGTGTGCCAGCAACCAAAACTCAAGGTACAGGGGCTGAAGTTGCAACTCTTCCAGCCCTGCATCCTCCATCCTGAGGGACCAGTGCCAGAGGATGGCACCTCAGGGTCCCTTTAGTTTCCCCTCTCCCCATATCAGGATGAGCCTCCTAGGTCTAACTGGGCCCCCTGGGATCAGGGGCTACTCCCCACAGCCCATGCAGCAATGAACCCCAAGTGCCCATGCAGCTGCCTTGTCCAGGCACAGCCCCACTGCCCACCCACCAGCCCAGGGGCTGGGCAAGGAGGGTGGCTGGTGGCTGACATGCCACACACACTCCCCATGGCAGGGCACTGCTGGGACAGGGGAGGAAGCCAAGGCGCTGGCACCCGTTGCAAGACTTTATTGGTTTCTAGACAGCATCGCTGGAGGGTCTGGGCTGGAGCCAGTGCTGGGGGCTCCCGGGGCTGGGGAGGGTCGGGGTGGGGAAGCCGTGGCTGCACGGGGTGCTGTGCATGGGGGAAGCCTCTATCGCAGCCCAAGGCTGCAGCTTGCCTGCCAGGAACAGGTGCAGGGAGGTCCATCCAGGCCAAACGCTCGCCCCGTGCCAGCTGTGCCCACGCTCTGATGTCCAGGAGCACCTGCTTGGGATCCCCTGAGGAAAGTGGAGCCGGCTCAGGTGGAAGAGCAGGTCCCGGCAGCGGCCGTGTCTCTGGGAAGGGAGGCCCCTTCCCGCCGGGGCGGCGGTGCAGCCGGGGGGGGGGGGGGTCGG